TTCCTGCACAGCAACACCATTCCAGCTTCATACAAGCTGCTGTATCACATTCAAACTTTCAACTGCATATGGTAAACAGCTTTGCCAGTGTTTCTGTGTTCTAGGCCAAGACGTTGCACGTGTGTATTGCAATATTTAAAATGTTTTATTTGTCTTGCTTCAGATTGTTTTAGTAGAAAGTGTGGGAAAAAAAATTTAGTCTAAATCATCTAACAAACAAGACTGTTAAGACATGGGTGCTTCTGAGGAACCTGCCATTTAACCTGTTTATAATTAACTCTTTGAAATGGATTAGCAAGATAAGATCTGGCTTCTGTGTTACAATCATTTTGGTAATGTTATTCTTTGCCTATAGCTACTGTCTGATATGTTATCTCGTTTTAATTTAGTACTCCAGTAGCTAGACTACCAGGCTCCTCTGGTAGCTTGTTTTCCATCGATGGGATTTAGTGGATCATACAAGGGTTATGTAAGAGATGATACCTTCTCTATTAGAGAGGATGTCCCCCAAAACAACTAGTTCTCTGCTGGGAGGCGTGAGGCCACTCGGCGGTTCCAGGTCTGCGGCTACTGCTCTGACTCAAGGTCCCCGCCGGTGCTGCGTTTGGTGGCATCACTCTTGCCTCTAGCACAGAGCTCATCACCTCTCTCTGCAGCACACACGTTCCTCAGCAGCTTCACACACGTTCTCAGCTAGGCCAGGTCATCACGAGTCACACCTTCCTCTAACATTCAGCTCTTCTTTAGAACCAACAAACCAACCAAACTCACCATCCCAAGTGCTTTAATCTCCTCCTTGCTTTCCAGAGACGTGTAGTTGTCTGTCTGGATTAGAGATGATACCTGCCACAAAAACAGTGGCATAACAACTAAATGCAACTAAAATATATTGTATGTGTTTTCTGCACTCCATTTTGTCAATATTTTGCTCATCTACCTCAAAAGAAAAAATAATCCTTTTCTCTACAGTGAAAAATGATCTTGAGAAATATCATTCAGACTGACAGTATTTAATAGTTTTCTGCCTGGACAGCAGAAGAGCGAGCTTGCTTCACCTTTAATGTAATTCTGTGCTCTGTCTAATAAGGCATGGATCCATCTCCCTCACTTTCAAAAGCAGGACTGAATAATGCAGTCAGTTCAACCAAACGGGAATAACTCAAACTTATTAGGAACTTATTAGGAACTTATTAGGAACAGCTTAAACTTGCTTTATGTACTAAGCATCCCCATATAGGTGGATACTTTCAGCTCTTAAGTCAGTTAGTTAGTAAATTTGATTTACTGTCGATTGCTTTCCTGGCAAACAATACAGAATTATAAGAAGCTAATGGTTTATTCTTTTAACAGTTATTTGTATACAATCTCTAACAGCAAAGGCATATATACCAAAAGAGGCGTCATATACGTTGAGAACATACATAGAAAGAATTATTTAAGCAGCTGTGCAATATTTCTTATATTAAACCTTCACAAAACTCATTGCTGGCAAACAAAACATAATATACACTTAAATAATTATAATTACTTTGCCATGATTTGGAATTAACTAGAATTACTAAAGACAGATTGGTGTATTCCAGTGTGATACAGCATGTCAGAACAGCACGATAAAAGGTTTCCAAAGAAAATGAAAGATAAAGACAGTCCGTATCTAATGTGTGAAATAAAAAGCACATAGTGTACTGCAGCAATGAATACAGGGCCTGTCATGTCACTTTGCAACAAATGCAAACAAATGCAAATTGCAACAAATGCACGCACCCTACAACAAATCACTTCCATGGCTTGTTCTCACCTGCTTGCAGTGATTAGATTTCCTTGCCCTAGCCCCTAAAACAGCAGAACAGAACAAGAACAGTGATGAAGAGAAATGTTATGGAAATAGAAAAAAAATGAACAGTGAAGGAAGAAAGTTGCCCTTCATGGAAGGGAACAAATACTGAAGGACATGATAAAATGACGTCAAATAATGAAGAGTTATATAGAAGGTGCAGCAATTAGTTAAAAATAGGAGGATATTTCCACCTATTCTGTCTTACAGAGAAGTAGAGCTGTACCCAAAAATAAAAATAAAATGAAAAACAGCATCAAAAGCTTAAAATATATATATTCTTTGCAAATACACTTTTGGAAAACAAAATAATAGAATACTGCTTATGCTAGGAGGAGAATGGGATTTTTTAAATGATTTTGTGTGGCTCGCATGCACACCCTGCTGCTAATCCCGACAGGACAGAGGTCTACACAGATGGGATGTAGCAGCCTCTGCCATTCACAGCACAGACTGGAACTCATATCAGAATTTTCTTAGGGCAGCACACTCATTATTTTCCACTACTGGGGTTCTGACACTTCCTCTGAATATTCTGGGAGTTGTCACTATAGCCGACCACAGACAGCACACCGATCTGGTACTGGAACCAACTCTTTTCAGTGGTGGTCACTGATAGAACTAGAGGAAACGGCCAGAAACTGAAGCACCAAAAGTTCCACAGAAACTTAAGGAAAAATTTCTTAACAGTGAGGGTGACAGAGCACTGGAACAGGCTGCCCAGAGAGGTTGTGGAGTCTCCTTCTCTGGAGATCTTCCAAACCCGCTTGGACGCAGTCCTGTGCCACGTGCTCTAGGTGTCCCTGCGTGTGCAGGGGGGTTGGACTAGATGACCTCTAGAGGTCCCTTCCAACCTTGAGCATTCTACGATTCTATGATTCTTTTGAATAAAGGCCCTGCTTAGCACTACGGGAGCGCTCCCAGTGCCTGTTACCTGGGTGGACAGTCCTTCTCATAGCATTTCTTTTGCCGTCCATTTGGCTGGGTCGCTGGGTCACAGAAGGAGTTCTTGATTGCTCCACTTCCCTTCCGCATGCAGTGGGCAATCTGGCGTTGCACCCCTGGAGGAGGAACAAAGAGAAGGATAATCCTTGAAGGCAGTGGGCAAACTGCAGGAATCCTCTAGCATAGGGAGTGCACAGCTTTTGCTCCACATCTGCAACAACAGCTGTGGGACAGATGCATTCATACAATAACATATAAATTCCAGCATGTAAGCAGGGCAAATAGAGATGCACACATTTCATCACAAGTAAAAGCCAGCACTGCTGAATGT